CATATATAAATGGAATTTTTTTAATATGTAAAGAGAAATCAGATGCCTGAAAATCACACCTGTGCCTCATTATCTCAGGCAAGTCTCACATACATAATTATACCTTCGGGGGATAATAATTGCTAAATATCTGCTGTATCCAAACACCACTCTCTTTCATGTGCTATTTATGTTTGTAATCACTTTATCTGTAAATTACCTGCACAAAATGAGAATTTAAAATTTTTTATTCTCTTCAGAAACAAAAAAAAATCTATTGTAGTGATATTTCTTCTTTGTGTATAGCTCCAGCACGACCAAAAACCAAGCCAATCCCTATTTATGATGCCACAGGAAAACTGCTTGTTACTTCAACAACAATTACAATCAGAATGCCAATATGTTACTATAGTGATGATCATGGACCAATCAAATATGTACAAGTGCTTGTGACAGAAACAGGAGGTATAATCAAATATCAATTTATCTTGTTATATTGTGGAATGTGAATTACTGCACAATGATAACATTTTAGTTCAAAATTAATAATATAAGATTGAGTCCCAATTATCACAGAATTCTTGAGATTAACAGACTGTCAATATTATCATTAATTATACCAATCAACTGATGCCCAAGATATTTCACCAACATAAAGAAAAGCATAGTTAAAATATGTGATTTATTTATTTCATATGCTAGTAGGATTATTTTTATTTTGGCAAGGTGGAGTCTTGATAGCTTCTTTGGAGGTGTGAACAAGAAAGTTACCCTCAGCTGAGGGATGTTCTTTTTCTACCTGAAAAATCATCCTCCACAACAATGCCTACAGATTCAAGTATGATGGGGAAGGACAGGGTTACTTGTTTATCTAGGTAGATCAGGTGAATCATCTCTGGTGGTTCATAGAGTGACTGATGTTGTGTCCAGATTCCCTTCATGCAATTATAAAAATACTCTTTGTAAATGTGAAAATACCTTCTTCTATTACTTATAATCATTATTGTTTTTTTTCCTGAAAACAGCCCAGCATGAAGGAAATGTAACAAAGTGGTATGATGCATATTTTAATAAAGCAAGGCCATATTTTACAAATGAAGGCTTTCCTAACCCTCCATGTACAGAAGGAAAGACAAAGTTTAGTAGCAATGAAGAAATCTATGTCATAGGTGCTGATAATGCATGTATGATTCATGGAAATGAAGATAAAATTTGCAATGGACCTCTTAAGCCAAAAAAGCAATACTTGTAAGTATAATTTATATCTCCCATGCATTGTGTTGGCAAGCAAGTTAATATCAATCATTCATTCATCTACCCACCCTTCTATCTTTCTGATAAACACTGGATGTCCACTATTTATAGTGACCTGATCTTTCAGGCTCTAGGAATGGAAAGATAAAGAAGGAATTATTCTTACATTTCATAAACATTAAGTATTATAGGGGAAGCAAGCAAACCTAAAAGTAATTATGATTTGATATGGTAAGTTACAAAAGATAAGATGAAAAATGTACTACTGGAACACATAGGTATGCAAGAGTACTTAATTCTTTCTGTAGTGTGACTAATTTGTTTTTCACTCATTATTTTGCCATGCATGCTGATATACAGGTTTTTAGAAACACTATCCTATTCTTTTAGTTATGATAATTTCCCTTTATGTTACTGATAGCTACAACTCTCCGCTTTTTATCCTATCAAACATCTGAATGAGTGATAGAAATCTTTACTATTTCCTTTAATATTTGGCATTTTGCAACCCTTAATAACTTAACATATTAAAATCAATGCTGACATTTTGGCTTTATTAAATTCCTTGCTAAATTGATTATTTTTTCCTATTGAATTGGTTATATTTTGTATCATAAGACTTCAGTTAAAAAATCTTCTTAACCTTATTTCACTTTCAAAATATAATTTTCGCTACTAATTTTTAAAAAGGCCTGCTAGTTGAAGCATTATCAAATTCTTTATAAATGTCCTAGACCAAATTATCATTAGACAAGTTAGAGAAATTAGACAATTCAAAAAGAATGCTTTATCATCTATTATTAAATACAATTACTTTGGTTTATATGCTAGGTTATTGCCTGAAGTTTACCCATCATACAAATGACAGTTATGAAAATGATATGTCACAAATTTTATATTTATTCTTACTTATTGTTTATTTCACAAATTTGCTTCCAAAACAAATTCTGTGTATAACAAATGGAAGCATAAAGATTGTATCATATAACGGTGGAGATTAAATTGTGTATTGCAATTTATTGGTTAAATATTTTTAAATGCCTTATGTGTTTCACTTTTAAATGAGGCAAATTTCAGTTGTATATGAGGATCTTAGAATCACCCAGAATTTTTAAGCTTGATCTTCTTCTCTATCCTTTTCTACTTCAAATGCTATGAAAGCATAAAAAATGTGCAAATACAACTGTGCATACACAGAAATAAGAAGCATTGTTCTTAATTTGTTTACAAGTAAATAAAGCAAGACAAGTTATATACAAAATAAGACGGTATAATTTTATATAATATAATTATAAATAAGACAAGTTATATAATCATTCTAATCTAATTCACTAGTATTTGCAAAGGTGGTTGAGGTATAACAATTATACCTTATATTTATAAAGTATATTAGTGCAACACACTTTCACAGGTATTAAATCATTTCATCCAAACAAATCTCTGAGGGAGGTGATCTGTTTCATTTGCTTAAACTGCTGACTGCTCATGAATTTGCCAAATTTTTGGTCACTGCCTGATTAAATTCAACAGACCCAAGTACAATATAATTATTTTAATCTCATATATATATAGTATATTTGTGTTTTTATGGTGATTCAATTCCAAATTTGCATCTTCTAAATTCATTTTCTCTTGAATCACAATATACAGTTTTCATAATTATTTGATAAGTTGTTCATTGCAAAAAGTCATATGATATGCAAATTGTTGGTTTATATTTTTTTATTTTATAGATTTAAATTTAGAGCAACAAATATCATGGGACAATTTACAGACTCTGATTATTCTGACCCTGTTAAGACTTTAGGTAAGACTTATTTTGTAATTTAATTTAATGTATAATATCAACATTTATCATAGTTGTAATATTTAATAGTGAACATATCAATCAATGACTGACTGTTCTTAAGTACAAATTCATTTCAATGTTAATTAGCCTGACTAAGGAAAAAATAGTATTTGTAACATTCCTTTAAAAGTCTGATATTCCCTCCATTCAAATCTGGGCATAGATTTTGTTAAGGTGTTGCTTCTGTGCTAAGATGTACTAACATTATGCCAAATACTTATTTGACTCTCTTAATATGCAATCTTATATATAAAACATTTTTAGCTAATAAAAGAGAAATAGGCTTATGGAAATTTTCCCTAAATAATGCTAAAAACTAGAAGCTTACAAGTCCTTTTTAATATAGCTATTTTCTTTCAAACAACGCTTTCATGGGTTTCTTTCAATTATACGTACCTAAATCAGGCCTAAATAAAACATGAATACAGTTTAGTCATATACATGTACATCATCATCATCATTACCATTACCATATCTAACATTAAATATTCTGTGCCAGACACACTTCTGGGCTCTTTGCATATATTAACTGATTAATTCTTTACAACTGTCCTCTTTAATTTAGGTCAGTGCTTCTCAGTCATGGTGATTTTATGCCCCAGGAAATATTTGGCAATGTCTGGAGCCATTTTTGGTTGCCACAAAAGAGTGGTGGTGGTGTATGGTACTGGTGTATGCTACTGCTCTAGTGGGCAGAGGTCAGGAATGCTGCTGAATTTCTACAATGCACAGGACAGCCCATAATGTCCATAGGGCTGAGAATGAGAAACTTTGAGTTAAGTGCTAATATTTGTTCCATTTTACAGATGAGGAAACCAAGGCCCAGATTGTTTAAGTAATTAAGTGCCTGAGCCAGGATTCCAACATTTCAGCACAGGATTCCATAACTACTACACTACTAATACAAGATGTAGACCTGGCTTCAAATCTTGGCTCTGCCACTTGAGCAAATAATTTAATTTCTATAAATCTCAATTTCTTTATTTGGATAAAAATGATGATGAGAGTATCTTCTGTGAAGAGTTGTTGAAAGGTTTAAATGAAACAACTTAGGTAAAGATGTTAATATTTTAGAGTTAGTAAATTTTTAATGTTCAATAGGTTCTTTTTGAATTGGTTATAATCAAAGATTTTAGAAATATATTTAGGGGGAATTATTTCCCTAGAATTTCACTGAGAGTATCACAACTTCCTATTTCTTTTGCACTAAGTCCTCAAAACCTCCAATTCATCCATCTATAATACCTTAAGGAACCAAGCAAATTGTGTATATCTGGGACACCACTTGAGAATGTCAGACTTATTGTGTTGTTCAGATTCTAGTGAGCTGTTGTTCTGCATACCATGAACTGCAAATAGATTTCAGTAAGAGTTGTGACTGGAAGAAAAGAGATTATTTCACTATTTTCGGCCAGAAATTTTCATCAGATTATGGAAATATTAATTGTATAAAGAGCTAGCCTTTGCAACCTCTGCATAATCAAGGAAACTTTGCATCTTGAGGAAATAAAGAAGGGGCATTTAGTTTGCTACATAGATGTTTATAAAGAATTAACATATAAATTTCTTTGGCTAAAGTGTTTAATCCATCAAATCATTAGTTTGATTAATTTCACCCAATAATTTAATCATTTTAAACTAGCTGATTAGTCTTACGGTTTTGAAATTGTGTCAAATGTTCCTTCATTTGATAGGTGAGTCTATCACACACTGATACCACCACTTTTGTTGTCTTACTGCCATCGACATAATTTCCTACAGAATTCAGAAGCCATTACTGCAGCTAAAGAGTGATCCTGGTATATTTACTGATGGAAGATACAAGACAGAAAAGATGGATAACTCACATGTCTTAGGGAGATGCTATTTTATAGGAGCAGTGCTGAAAGGAGCTAGCCTTACTGTGTTGTGTGTTGTGTATGTGTCTCTCATCAGCTTGCTGGTTCGATACAGATTATTGATGGGAGGACAACATGTTCAGTTATCTGAGCAGCAAAATTGAGACATTCAGGGTAACAGAAATGAGAAAGAAGAGCCATAAAAAGTGATCACCAAGCATCAGGAACCATGGTGTACAGGATCATGATTCCTTAGATTCAGCCAAGAATGGCCTCATCCAGCACTGTGGATAGTCTCAAGGTGCTCCTCAGTGATGTCTTCTCTTTCTTCCTTCCACTCACAGCCAGGGTAGTAGGATGCAATGACCAGTTCTGGAACGTAGCAGAAAAATACAGTTAGTTCTCTGGTTCCTTCTTTGGAATCATAACCATCACCACCCCAGTCATCTAGGAACTAATTTTTACATGCTGTGGTAACATCAGGAGTCTAGAGAAGGTAGAAAATGTGGAATGAAGGACAGAGCACGGGATCCTGCCAAGAGTAGAGAAGGAGAGACTTGTGAAACATAGACTGGACACAGTAGGTAAAAAGCCACCGGGCTGGTAAGGAATAGTCACAAGGAAGGGTCCCATGTATCTATTATCAAATTGCTCAAAGTTCAGTATATTATTTGTATAGCAGCAAAATAAAGACATCTTTTGAGGCTACTTCTCACAAAGTGATCTTCCAAGGATTCTCTCCTGATAGATATCAGCTTTGTAATTGGCTTTTGCCCTGTAATACTTACTCCAGTTTGACCACATGGAGTTCCGCTATTTAGATAGTCATTTATAGCCAGTAAAACAGTGACAGGAATGAAGGAAATTACTAGGGATGTAATCCTTAGTCATGGTGAAATGGGAGAACACCCTTGGAGCAGAAGTCCTTGGTGACTAGCAAAGTAGCCCAGCCATTTTTGCTGGTTAATGAATTTAACACTATTAATTTCTGTCATCACATTTGCCTTCTGCCAGATTATTGGATGTTGTGGTTCTGTGGAGTACAGGTTCATCTTGATGGGTCAGACAAAAAAGAGCACCCCCTAGAAATGGCTCTGGTCTATTTGACATTAGTAGAAGGCCATGAAGTCAAATGAGTTATTCACAAATGAACTTTGCCAAGGAAGATACAGTAAAAGGACTCAAAAAGGAAACAAAATTGACCATTTCTACAATGGTCTGTAGTCACTGGCAAGAATGTTTTCATGGCTATGAGAATAAGGACAACCAAATAATAAAGTGCATTGATGTAATGCCCCTACTGTCATCCAAAGATCAGAAGATGACAAAAGATGACTGAGCCCTTTTGCTCTCAAATATGCCATATGTTGTGATAGTTGATATCATTTAGAGCAGACTAGTGGCTCCTAATATTCTTATCAAGCCTACTAAAGACTTACATGTATACATAATTCCAGAGTTCAATGAGAGACATCTAGATCTTATCCAAGTCATCAAACCACTAGCAAATAAGCATTCATTCACTGATAGTTTGCACACCACAGACAGTGAGCTCTAAGCTGAGTTGCCTATGAATTGAAACTTCAGGATTTAAGAGCCTTTGCAATGCTATGTTTTTGCAGATCATTTCGGTGACAGTTGTGCTTCTCAGAGATGTTATTATTTGGAAGTCAAAATTAGATGCAAGAGATTCAACATAAACTGATGAACTAAAAAAAGGTTTAAGTTTAGTGAAAGGGGCTAACAGCAGTACAAGTGAGAGGGGGCCAGGTATTTGCTGGATAAGGATGAGTCTGTGGACCAGCAGGTTGCACTGAGGGAAATCTTTATGGCCTGTAGGAATAAACAAGAGAAATGATATATATGTTATTTTAATCCTAAATAAATACTTACAACTCATTTGATACTGTTTTCACTCAAGATTGAACATTAGCAATTTTATTAACAAAATTCACAAGAAAGCCTCTTAAACTTAAAAAAAAAAATCTTCCTTAGGCACATCAGTTTATGGAAACTGCTTGTAGGCAATGTTTTGGTAACAAGGTTTAATTATAGAGGATTCCTATGATTTGAAAACCAGACACCCTTTCCGCACCTTATAGGGCTCTCATTAAAGCTGAACAAGTTGAAATCTTAAACCCTATGGCAAAGTCACTCTGTGATTGTTTTCTTTTGTCATAACACTTCTCATTTAATTACTGTGCTAACAATGAAAAGTTCCAATATGTTCACTTAGGCTCAGAAATAGAGAGTTGCTATTATCTTTTGCTGTAAAAGGATCACTTTCCCCAAGACATCCAAGGAGCAAAGTTTTGCTTTATTATGAAGGCAGTAGTAATGTGTGGTGCACCTCACAAACTTTGCAGTCAGAGAGGCATAGTTCATGCAGTTTTAGCAGATATTGAATTTAGGTGAACTTAGGTTAGTTATTTAACAAATTATTTAAGTTCTGAATTATTTCTAAAACGACAATACTGACACTTCATAAGCTGACTGAGAGATTAAATCAGATAAATGAATGAATATGAAATGTTTATTAATAAAAATGCCTGACATTGTTTATGGGCCCAGCTTTTTCAATGGTTTTGCATATAAACTAATGTATTCTTCACTGCAATTCTATTAACATAACCTCCTATTTATAAATAGCCCCAATTTATAGGTAAAAAATCTGAAGCACTAGGTCCTTAAGCAATAAGACCAAGGATTTTAACCTTGGCCAGGTTTGTGACAGCACAAGCTTTCAGACCCAGGCAGTGTGACTCCAGTCAGTGCTGTGCTTGTAAAAACTGTACACTGCCTGAAAATCACTACGCGCCCAGGTAGCTTTCAACTTCCTTACTACTGGTGATTTTTCTGATCCCACAGACTTCCTGTCCTTGTTGTACTTTTTTCTCTTCTGAATATTTTAAATTATTTCTAGCTGTTCTGTTCTCATTTCTCACCTTCTTATCTTGGCTTTCTGAGGTTAACATTCACAAGTGAGCATGTGTTGTTTTTGCAGACAAAGATACGATAATTCCTCTTTTCTTTTTAACAATAGATGACTGTAATTTTTTCCCCACATCTTGGCAAACACTTTATTATCTACTTTTAAAATTTTGCCAGTCTGAATGAATGAAAATGACATCCATCTAAAGTGTTTTCATTTGTATGTATTTTAAAATATTTTTTGAGTATTGACAAATTATAATTGTATATATTTATGGGGTACAAAGTGATGCTGTGATATATGTAGACACTGTACAATGATTGAATCAACTAATTAACATATTCATCATCTCAAACAAACCTTTTTGTCCCCAACCTGTTTGGCACCAGAGACTGGTTTCATGGAAGACAATTTTTTCACAGAAGTGGGTAGGGCGGGGCCCACAGAGCTCTGCAGGCTGGTCCCTACCAGGCTGTAGATTGGGAACTGCAGATCTCAAATACTTATTATTTATTTCTCCTGTCTAACTATATTTCTTGGATGGTGAAATTGAGAGACTTTTAGTAATTTTTTTGTGCAGTGTTTGAACATTGCAGATGACTAACACTGGACCAAAAAAGAAGATGAACTTCTTATACTCTATTCCTATTATAAGAACTTTTAAAGAATAATAATAAGATCTTCCACTTCATATGCACCTATATCAGGAGTCAGACCTTGTACATACTATGAGCTTTATACCTCCTTCAATTCAAGCTTCTTCTTAGAGGTATAAAAAGGCTTAAAAAATTGGATCCATATGCTGAGTTTAAATAATGATAATTTCAATCAGAGGTGATACTTATGAAAAATTAGTATTTTATAATTATGATTTGCTAAATTGCAGTAGTATAATTTATCATGTAAACAAACAACTTAATTTGATCTGTCACAGGATTTTAATTCTCATCAGGAAATGACTTGTGCCTATTACATTTTCAAGTAGAAGAATTCCACTTAATGTGAAAGGATTTGGAGAAGTGACTTCATTCTGTGCTGTTAATGCGCTGTGGATCCATGCATAGCAGTGAATCAGAAAATGTACTCTACAATCAGGGAACATTTTGTCCTCTCCTAGTGACACTTTTGTAATACATGTGCCCAAAGGATTACATATTGTTTATTAATATATTATATGTCATTTCCTCACTTGGCCAGTGCTTTGAAATGGTAATCTAATCTGAAAAATGTTTTTGTGGTCTCTGAAAACATTTTTTTCCTGCTGAGTTCTAAGGCCCTGTGATTCATTATTACCTGCTAAAGATAATTCTTTATTCATCTTCATGCCTTCTTCCCCAAGCATATCCAATTAGAGTCAGCATGTGAAAATTCATAAAACAAACCATTCATATTTAATGTAAAAAAATAGTGTATTTGAAATCCTTTATGAGATACATGCTGCTTTAGCACTTTTTATATTTAGCTGGAGATTCTAGAGGAGTTCTGATAACTGTTTAAAATTCAGTATTTATTGAAATCTACCACGTAGACTAGCCAAAGGAACCCTTTCATATTGGTAACATTTTATAAGTACCAATCCAGGAAAAAAAGATGAAACATTAATCACTGCATACTTTACAGATAGTTAACCTATTTTGTCACTTCACTATAATACTTTTTATGGTAAAATTATAAATCTTGTAGCTTAAAATTGGTTAAAATTATGGTCTAGCTAACCAATGTTTCTAAATCAGTATTTTTGTTGTCTCTTTTATTGAATATTAGGACATATGAATTTATATATTGAATCAATTTTCATTTTATTCATTATCATGCTTAAATTGTTTCCTTTTTGGCCACTAGAGGTTCTTCAGGATAATTTTTTTTTCCTTTTCATACCATTAGACTTTGTTAGCTTCCTAACTTTCTGGCACCATTATATGTCTTAAATTCATTTGTTCTTTATCCCACTTTGGAATTACTATCTCTCCAAGGTTCCATGGTTTATTTTGGTGAAAAGTGTATATACATTGAAAATAGAGCCAACAGGCTTTCCTCACATGTTTAGGATGTGTTATATGAAAGGAAAAAGTCAAGTCTGACTCCAAGATTTTTGGCCTGAGCATCTGAAACAATGGAGTTTCCATCAACTGAGGTGGAAAGATGCAGTTGAAAGGAGGGAAGTGTTGGAATTCAGCTTTGGAATACTGATTTTGAAATTTTAAATAAACTTTTAAATAAATATGTCCATTATTCAATTGGATATATAAGTCTAAAGTTTGATAGATAAAAATTTAGTAGTCATTATCATATAGATGAATTAAAACTGTGAGGCAGGATGGGCTCACAAAGGGAGTAAGTTTAGATAGAAAAAGAGGATCCAGGACTGAGCTCCAAATTTAAAGGATCTAGGAGAAGAAGATGAATAAGTAAGTTTGTACATTTAATTAGCATTCTTTAG